GCCAGATCTCTACGTCTGTACGCTTCAATCCATATATAGACCATGTCTGACACCCCATCGGACTCATCTCGACCATTCAAGCCTACGAGTCCATCAACCGGACAGACGCTGCGCGCCCTGGTTAAAATGTCCACAAACATGTTCAATACATCGCCTAATCGAGAACTGGACGGTGAAAACCCTAATCAGAGTGTTCTGTCAGATGGTCGAATCAACTGGAACGCTTCGGTATTTGTGCTGCTATCAGAGCTGTTGCGTTCAAGTCAGTTTATTCCCGTTGATATCTTTGNTCTTTGTTGTTATGCCCACCGTTTACATTAACTTCAAATACAATGCACAGTTTCTCCTGCAACGCTCTTTAGGCTGGCGAGAGATTAAAAAAGCACCGAACTGGCTATTGATTTTTTCAGGTCTAAAAGAGCGACAAAAGTCAGTGGGTTATTCTTTCAGACGAGATTGGCCGATGAACGCTGTGACCTCATTTTGCTTGATTCTATAGTAACTGCGATCACAACTATGCAGGAACCAATTGTGAGAACTATAAGACCGAATCCGGGTGGATGTCGATCGATTATCATTATTCGTCTTCCGTAAGTTCATCCTTAATGAGTAAACTACCTCAAGATTCATCACTCGGGCCAAGTGGTTATTGGCGATGTTTAGGCATTGGTGTCTGTACTTGTTTAACCGAATGTCTCGCCTACGAATCAAGCGCATAAGATCAGGTGTATATAGTCTGAGCATTTGACACACCGACTCAACCTAATTGGTCCATCGATCTTCGTGAGATCCGTAATATCTGGCACAATTCACAACGTAATGCCACAATTATTTTTATGCGATCCGTGCATTTCGCATCTGTGCACCGAAGATTGACTTGACAATGTTTCAATGTACTGGGATTGGAACGCGCGGAATGTGGACACATTTTAAGAATTTTTTGAGCCCAGCAAGTTGGTATTTTAACCAGTAATTCTGTCTGAGATTGCAGAGCTAATTGATCTCTTTTCAATCAAATATTAGTCCCTCACAGTCTACCGGTTTTTAATGACTCGGTAAGATGCAGAATAAAGTTATCAGCAAATAGAATAATACTGATGAAGTCGTTAGAGTTGCATGGATATTGGAGTTCTCTGAAGGTTTCTGCACGATATACATCTTGTTTATCTTCAAGCAGAATATGGTGCACCCATTTTCCGAAAATATTTATACCCTCAGTTGGTCTCGAAATACCGCTTGTTGAACGGCCGGTTTTTAATTGTACATTACTATTAAAGTGCTACTGTTTGAGTCCTTTCATCAACGAAGAGTGGCTCATAAAATGTAGTCAGCTTTTGGCCGAGGGCTGAAACATATAGGGGACCAGCTGCATTAGTTATACTTCGAGTCGTTGTTCTTTTTTCTAAATCACCCGTTGTTTGCACAAACTCTATATTCTCAGCTGGTTATAATTAATATGTATATATATATATATATCGATTGTAGTTGTATACGACCACAGGTGGTGGCGCCAAAATCTAGAATGAAATTTTCAAATTAGATGTATTCGCGTTGCAACTTTTAAATGCAATATCAGTTGGTCCCTCCCACGGATTTCGTCATCCGGTTTCTTTCGTGATTACTAAATTTCCCACAAAGCTGTACCATGGTTTGTTTGCCTGTTCTTTGCGAGATCCGTTCCTGGTGTGTGATACTACTCAGGGAGTCTGGGACACTATTTTTGAATACAAATCGACAATTTTCTCGGTTATCTCTAGTCCTTGTTCCAATACGCAGGTACACACAGACACACAATTTTCCTATTCAGACCTGTTACTGATTCCCTTTGAATTTGAACGGTACTTTTTATTTACTTTCATTATTCTTTCTCCATCCGGATCGGGCGATTGAAGCGTTGAGACACCGATTGATCTACCTATGCTTGTGTATGTGTTCGTGATTATGAGCGCCGCACATTCGGCTTACTTTCACAGGTTTTATCCGATCCGCGTTGCTCTTCTCACCCTCTAAGTAGAGCCACACAGAAATCAATCCGGTTTTTCGTGCATCGAGGCCTCTCGTTTGCTTGAATGGAACATACCGAGGTTACCTGCTGCCTTGTGGATAGCACTAGTCAAATTGCGAGGGTGACTGAGAACTATTTTCAAACCATTACCGTGTTTATATTGCCATGAAAGTTCGAGATTTCTCTCACTCTGCCTGTTTGAGTTAGTTGCTTGCATACAGTACTTTCTCCTAATAGTTCATCATCTGGTGGTTAACTGGTAAAACTGAGCACCACCCCAATTTCACACACATTAACCTTTTATCATGTCCTGAGATCCAAGCAGAATAACTCAAATATTGGAGGGCCATGTGGATGGGACAAGTACACGAAATTGTCCATTATCACCGGGTTGAATGCTCAATGTGTATAAATGTCTAAAGCTGTTCCTCCTGTTGTAATTCCACAAGGCGGTGCCTGGTCGAGGATAGTCGTTTATTACGAATAACGATCAGGGTATCGGTTAATTGCTATTTATACAACAAAGTGTTTCATTTGGAACGAGTTTGCAGAATCCCCGCCCACACACAGGATAGTTTATGTAACGGTCCACTGTTAGATGCGCATTCCCGTATTCACCTTACCGAACAGCAGCAATTCGCTTGAACAGGTCTTGTTCATTTGTTGACCGTTGAAAGAATCCGCCGATCGCATCTTTTTGCGAACTGCTCACAAGTGAGTAGTATCCCACACCACCCCTTATTTCAGTTGTCTAGCTTTATGGTCTTGTCTTCGCTGAGCTGGGTGGTTGGCTCCCAAGTTTTCGTCATCAGCCGAGTTGCTCGCACAAACACTGAACCGAACACGCTATCTCGACTGATAATAAGACGTTTGAAATCGGATTGCTCAGCTCAACGAGTGAGGAAACGGTATTTCGCTGCATTCTTATTTTTTTTGTACAAGCTAATTGTACGCATAAGAACTGATCTTACAGGTTAGTGTATGGGTTGTCTCGAGCTCCCACCAGTGCTGTTTGCGACTTTTATTGTGTGGTCACATTGAGCGAATTCAAAACCGGGGAGAAATTGTGGAAAAGCTGCATATGTTATGGGAGAAATATGTAACTGTCATACTCTCTCGAACTCGGTTGCTTTAATGGAATCATTTATTTTCTCTTTTTAGTTATGAGTGATCTACCTATTTTTAAACTGCAGTTGATTGGTGGACTTACAAACGCATCAAGCCATGCCAATTAACTAAATCTCTTTGGATAGGTAGTTGTGAAGCGTTCATATCCTGATGAACAGTTTCGGCTATCGTGTATTCTTCATCCCGATAAGGACATAGGCTACAACGTATTTGTAATCGTTGTCCTGTTTTGCTATATCTGTTCTTGTTCACTGCGCGGAATGTAATGTGAGTTCTATGTTCTTCTAACAGTCTTTGTTTGTACACAAGGCTGCCTGCCCAACGGGTGGCACAGCTTCTTGGACCATCTTTTGCAAGTTGTACTTTCTATCAAGTGCAACCACTTATTTTAATAAACTAATTCTTATTTAATGTTCGTCAACTTTGGATTGAAAAGTATGGAGCGTTCATCCTCTGATCGGGTAGATGGAACGGAAACTCGGCCGATACGTAAATTCACATAACTATGTTGTGTCACTAATCGCTGTCTTTTGTCTGCGATTTCGTATTCCATGACACTAGAGAGATAGCCACTTGATCCCTTTTTCATCATTGTGGTTGCTTATTTCTCCTACTTCAAGCAAAAGTTTGGCCTTTGAGTGGATTTGATCTGATCTGATTTTAATAGCCTGACGTGAATAGGACTTATCTTTTTTCAACATCCAATCGATATTTGGTTCCGTAACCCAAGTGTCTTCTCTGTGTGTATTTGAAAACCGTTCTTCACCGCGAATATTCTGTGCATCTTGCTGCGAAACTTTCGGTAGTAATTACTTAGTGAGCAAACAGTTCGCCACAATAGCTTTGTTTGCAACACCAGGTGATTTTTGGATAGACAGCTCTTTCAGAGCCAGTCTATTGGAGAATCAATACTATGATTGCATGTTTTGTAGATGGGTTATATGCTACTAACCGCAACACACGTGACTTGAGTCTTTTATAGAATATTTCATAATAAATAGTATCTGAACGACTGTACTGGCTCTGAAAGAGCTGTCTATCCAATAGTCACCCAGTGTTGCAAACAAGGTTATTGTGACGAAAATACACCTGTTGGATACGAGTACATGTATCAATAAACTGACGAAGAATTACCGGATACGCATGCCTGACGAGCGGCAAAAACCACGAAACCGGTTGTGTGCTTCCAGTGAAATTTTGGCCGGTCATTCATATATTACTTATTATGAATGCATATATATATTAATATAATGGAAGAATCACTTGACCTTAGTCTTGTTGCCAGGTATCTTCTTCATCTTTTACAAGAGGGCGAGGGAATGGGGTAATCCATCAAACCCTTTCGATGCCCTCTGTTTCAGAAAACCATACGGGTTCCTGTGGTTTTAGAATAGATAACGTCTGTATGTACAAGTCCATATATGAGATAACAAAGGTTTTGGTGATTCGATTGGCCTGCACACAGTGCAAATTGCGGCGCGAGACCTAAACTGTGTCGTTTGACCTTTGAAACACGAGAAAAGCTTAGTCAGGATTAAAAGGTAGATGGAAATACTGATTTAGGATCCATGAAACAACAACTTACGATGTTCTAGAAACTGAGTTTGTATAAAAATGAATAAGGTATATACAGTGCACTCATCAAACAGAATCAACATATCACATATCACTGCACCATAAATAGTGCATATACACCATGTTCACGGGTTTTGAACCCCAACACCAGAGGCTGCTAATCAGACGCACTGACTATTTGGATTGGCTATAGGTCAATGCTACTCAGTAATGGCGCTTATCCGTCACTATCGTTTTACGCAAAAGGCTTTATTCATCATCGATCGTCTTCCTGGTATATGAATTCTCAGGAACTCGAAATCTGCATTTGCTGGGCATGAATTTGTTGGTATGAAGTGGTTTGGGGATTCGGTTTGCTTATTGNTGCTTATTGGCATTGTATTCGTCACACAGTGCTGCTCATTAAGGAGCGGGATTGTAGAATAAAACATGTCTACGTGTGTAGTTTTTTTGGTCTTTTTCATATCCTTATTACCAAGTAAATGTTTGCACTTCTTTGCATCAAGTTCAATCAATTGACCGGTTTAACTTTCCCTAAAATCGTTTTCTTACTTTCAGACGGTGTGGATCAATCTGCGGAGTTGACGCGAGCTCTCAATAAACGGTAAGTTGTTAGCATTACTACACTGGTAGATAGAACTCGTCTGTTTTTGGTGGGTGTTGTGCTCAAAGTATCTTCTTATTCACTGTGATTATGGTGCGCACCATTTCAGATCGATGCGGTGCTGGCACATCTCGATTTCGTGCCTGATTAGCCTATGCACCTTTTCACATAGGTGGGTGCGTCATCATCTTGCTGGCGCCTTCATTGTGTGTCTATTGAGTTAAGTGAACCACGATACTGACTCAATGCACTAGATCTTCATTCGTTTCAGTCCAATACTAAGAAACCTCCAGATCAGTCACCGCCATTTGGTTCACAATGGCATTTTCAATGCCGAAGGGTGCTTTTATTTGTTTATTCACTGCATGCGGGAAGAAAGTGATGAGAATAATGAAATGTGGGCAATGCAAGAATTGGGCACACCAAAAGTGTTCCCAAATTAAGTCATAGGTACTGCAAGTATTTATACTTGGAATGGCTTTGTACACCGACAAACATGGCTATCAGTGTTAAGGCAGGTTGCGGGTGAGGGAATGGCTAACTCCTCGAAAGGACCACAACCAACAGGACGAAACATATTTTAGAATAGTGTCCGGAAAATTCATGCTAAGGAAATGGCCAGGCGCTGGACTGGATGGGGTAGGAACAATAGCTCACAGGTAGATTGTAAGCGGGAACAGCCTGCGCATGTAGCACGAGAGAAAGCAGAGAAAATGGCTGGGAATTAAACAACTAGAATTCGGTTTGGATCAGCAAGTGCGCAGCACCACCAGCTACGTATGAGGTTGCAACGCCCCTCGGTCCTTGATTAATCTACTCAGCAAATAAGCTTTTATCGCAAATGCAAAGGGAGCGTGAAAAGGTAGCCGATGAGAAGGTATACGCAAAAATGACACGAGCAATACTTTGAATACATCGGTGGTCAAATAATGAAAGTTAATTGGCATCCTCAGCATTGTGGGACCAGTTCTCTCAACCGTAAAGCAGAACAATGTGAACTACAGCGATGTGAACCCGTACCTTAAGGGGCAGTCGGATG